CGAGGTCATCTTGGGCTCCAAATACGCAAGTTAAGCCCAAAACATCACTGTTCCAGCACTGCGCATGGTTCCTTTATTTTATTGCCAGAAAATCATCGCTTGGTAGAAAAAAACTGATATTTTGACACGATCAAGCTAAGTGACTCACGAACGTCCTCTAATTGGAATTACTCCAAAATTCGTCCATTTGACCACGTTTTGCTCCAGAGGAAGTCGAAAATCCTATATTGGAAATATAATTCAAAGTATCAAAATTCTTCCAAATTATTAACCAAAATATACTAAGAATAGGGTTAAATATATAATATAAAATATACTCATCAGCTATAATTCTGGATAAAACTATGTTTAACCATTTCGGTTGGAAATGACCTTAGCACAGAGGGCTATTTGTAGCCGGCACTGCTTGCTATCTAAGATGTAATTGTTGACTAGGAAATGGCCCCTGTTGGCAATATATTTTGCCCAAATTTGTGATTTTAGCCCATAAGGACTGAATATGGCCTAAATGAACCAACAAAAAAAATGCCGTACTACCCTTTGATGAACTTTGCCAGGATATTTTCTTTGTTTTCTTTCGGCTAGACAGAACTTGCCATTTGTTATATTTTATTTTGGTTTCGTGTTGTACAACTGGTTAGATTGGCATTTTCTTTTGTCCCCATAAAAGGTTAGTTAGCTAATCTTCTTATTGTTTAGGGCTTTTCGTATGTAAGCCTTAATATTATTATTACACTTAAAAAAACAAAAAAAAAAAATACTTCGATAATATTGTTTGTTAAAAAAAAAAAAAAAAAAACTTTGAATCGTATATTATAGGAGAAAAGTTTTTAAAGTTTTCAGTATTTAAAACAGGTACTACATGTGTCATACTACAAATGGAAGGACATGGAAAAATATATCATTCTCCACTTGTATTGTGACATGTAGAGTAACACTTAGTTGGAATAGAAAAAACTTAAAGTGACTTGGTAATGAAGGAAGAGCACCATAACTAAGAATTGATTAAAGCATGATAACTGGATAGATAAGGGGGTTTTCCTCCTCCAGTTGAGCTATTGAAGGATTTTTGTATAAAACTTATGGTCAGTTTATGGACATAGTGTTTCGTTTAAACAATAAAAACATGTTTTCTTGCAAGGAATGTGTATCATTCTTATTCATGTTTACAAAGAGGAATGTAATTGCAAGGAATAATTATCATTCCCTTCCATGCGTTTACTAAGATCTAAAGAATGATATATTCAAAAAGGAAAATGCTTGTGATACAATCTTTTTTAGACCACATTTACAAACCATCTTATGTGGCATATTAATATGGCATGCCAAGTCAATAAGTGCAATGAAGTGGATTCTAATGTTTTTAATCTCCTAATTTAAAACAGTTAATTACCCAAAAAAAATTAACAATTAGTTGAACTAAAGGCGAATTTGAACCACATTACGATCAAGTGGTATTCATCTTCACTTGTAAGTGAAAGGTCTTAGGTATGATTCTCGCCAAATACGAATTTAAACCACATTATTGCTAACCCATTGTGAAGCTAAGCTCACTCCTCCCACCTTTTCGGGCTGGATTTCTGGATATGTTCCCTTGCACAGCCTCCCCGGAGAAATGGATCTTTCTTGCATGTCGGGCAAGATCTTGTTGCCTGGGGTGCTGCAAGACGAGTTTATGGTTAGTTTGAAAGGTGCCTTTGTGGAGCCTTCAGTGTAGGCCTTGAGGCTCACAATCAAAACTAACAAAGATCTGATCTGAGTGTGCCACTGTTATCTTTGTATAACAGATTGTTGAATAGGTGTGAATCAGGTCGATTACTTGTGCCTCAAGTTATTTAGACTTCTTGTTTATCAAAGGATTGTCACAGATGAGTTAAATCTACATTAAGTTCTTTTTCTTGCCTTGTAAACAAGGACTTTTAATTCATAACATTGTATGTCCAAAGTGACGAGGGTTCAAGGCCCTTCCAACCATTTCCTTGATCAAGGTTTGCTTTAGGTTCTTTAACTTACCCAGATCCGATTGCAAATGAAACTTTTAATTATGAAACTGTTGAAAATGACTTAAATACATGAAGGAAAATGCATTAAACGACAAATCTACTATATGTAAGTACAAACAAAAGAGATTCGGGCAAGATTTAACCTTGTCGGGCAAGGTTGAAAGTCTTGCAACCACTTCTCTTTGTCTTTAAAGGGGTTTGTATACTGAGAGGGATGAAAAGTAAATATGTTTTATAGAGGGAATCGATACTACAACACTAAGGCAAGGTAGCAGAGCTTCTAAACTTGACAAAATATGGCTTTCTAAGGGGAAATACAACTAAAAAGGGCAGAATCTGGACAAAGTGAAGCTTTCTGGGGACAAACTTGTTTAAGAACAAAGTTTGTATGTCTTTTGATTGATCGGTTGAGTGTCCTTATCTCTGGTGTCCATCTATCCTTTTATAGACAATTTGGCCAGACTATCCCATCTTTAGCCTTTAGCTGATAACTTTTGGAAGGTAATGAATCATCACCTATTTACTCATCCATGCCCCTAAAAAGTGCTTTTTGGCTTGTGGTGAGGTGTTCTCTATCGCCCATCACTTCAAACATAAGCGTGTGGCCTATGCCTTTGCTGAAATAACTTCCAATTCCTTTCGGGCCTATCGACTTGCCCGAGCCCAATCTGTTATTTGCATCTTTGGGCCTCCATTATCTTAAAGCCCAAAATCAAATATAAGCCTAAACAATGCTCCCTTTAATCGTTGTCAAGTCTGTTAACCAAGACATTGATAATGAATAAAATTAACTGCATGCTTTAACTCGGGACTTGTGCCATTTACTCAGCCTTTTTCTAATAAACCTTTGCACTAACCCATGATCTCCAACGTTAACTAACTATCCGTTAAATAACCTCCATTTAAATTTCCTCGGCCATCACTTCCCACAAACTCATCTTCTTGAATTTTCAAAATCCTTGAATCCCTTGCTTTCGCAGCTATTTCTTGCCTTAGTTTCAATCACTTCTCACTTCACTTTCTGGAAATCAACCATGGCCCCCAAACTACGCCCTGCATACTAATCTAGAGAGGGGATCGTCAATTTGCGTCGCCGGCTCAAAGACCTTCATCGCCATCGGACTGGCCTGAACCTGTCCATCTTATTCAAAGAGGAAGGGGTACATTCTCTTGGGCCTACTTGGACTGCCCGAGTCCCAGTTGCAGTGGAGAACAACATGCCCGCTACCAATTGGTTTACCTCCAACCTCTACTCCACCTAGGCTGGGATTTCTGCCTCTAAGTGGTCAAATTTTAGGAGGGGTTTCCCTTTTATGAAGGACGAAGCTTGGTCTCAGTGGGTGGGTGGACGAGCTAAAACCCATTTGGAAGCAAAAATGGATGGTGAATGGCATCTACGAGCTCATCATGATGTCGAAGATCACTGTCCCAGTCAAGCATGAGCTTCTGTCAACTGCCTTGCTCTTTTAGAAAAAATGGGACTAACTCCGGCAGATTTGGAGTGGGGTGCCTCTATGCTCAGGAGGTACCCTTGGTTCTCGGACCAATTCTTCCAATATTCCTTTGGGGAGAATGTCAACAGCTCATGCAATGAGAATTTTGTCAGCTGTATCCAACAAAGAGACCTGGTCTAGGGGGTTACAAGTGATAGAGTGGGGGTACAAGTGTGGGCTAGAGGTCTACTACCCAAACTTTTGTGGTAGACAACTTGGATTCAGGTAAGCAATTCAAGTGCCATTCTTTGACTCCTTTCACTATGGGACCTCTTATCATAAAAAATTGTTGAATAGGTGTGAATCAGGTCAACTACTTGCGCCTTAAGTTATTTAGACTTCTTGTTTATCAAAGAATTGTCACAAATGGGTTAAACTTGCATTTTCTTTTTCTTGCCTTGTAAACAAGGACTTTTAATTCATAACATTGTATGTCCAAAATGAAGAGGGTTCAGGGCCCTTCCAACCATTTCCTTGATCAAAGTTTTCTTTAGGTTCATTAATTTACCCATATTTGATTGCAAATGAAACTTTTAAGTGTAAAATAGTTAAATGACTTAAATACATGAAGGAAAATGCATTAAACGACAGATCTACTATATGTAAGTACAAACAAAAGACATTTGGGGAAGATTTAACCTTGTCGGGTAAGGTTGAACTTCTTGCAACCATTTCTTTTTGTGTTTACAAGGGTTTGTATACTGAGAAGGATGAAAAGTAAATAGGTTTTACTAGAGGGAATCGATACTACAACACTAGGGAAGGTAGCAGAGCTTCTAAACTCGACAAAAGATGGCTTTCTAAGGGGAAATACAGCTAAAAATGGCAGAATCTAGACAAAGTGCAGCTTTCTGGGTACGAACTTGTTTGAGAACAGAGCTTGTATGTCTTTTGATTGATTGGTTGAGTGTCCTTGTCTCTGGTGTTCCACTATCATTTTATAGACAATTTGGCTCGACTGTCCCACCTTTAGCCTTTAGCTGATAACTTTCGGAGGGCAATGAGTCATCACTTATTTACTCATCCATGCCCTTGAAAAGTGCTTTTTGGCTAATGGTGAGGTGTTCTATGTCACCCATCACTTCAAACATAGGCATGTGGCCTATGCCTGTGCTGAAATAGCTTCCAATTCCTCTAGGGCCTATCGACTTGCCCAGCAATAGCTTACAATTCCTCTAGGGCATATCGACTTGCCCGAACCCAATCTTCTATTTGCTTTTGCATCTTTGGGCCTCCATTATCACAAAGCCCAGAATCAAATATAAGCCCAAACACCACCCACTCTAACCTACTCCATCAACCCCACTCTATCGCGGCAACTGCCTCTCCTATAGCTGTCGACCATTCTCTCTCTCATTCTCGCTCTTCCAAATGCTCATATTCCATCTCAGGAAACATGAAGTCCCATTAAGAATACGGGAATGCAAATTTGTCATACAGTAAAGGAATGCACGATCTCATATAGTTATGGAACATCATGTTAGTGGAAGTTCCAAGGTAACTCTAACACAACTTTTCCCATCATTTAAATCCTTTTAGTTACACATGTATCCATCAAAAACAAACTTAATCCAATTTCCAGACTATGTCTAAACGTCATTTCCTGTGTGGAAAAGTGGTCCTGCTACAATTTAGTGAACAAATTGGTGTCATCAAACAATACTAACCTTTGATCTCGGTGAGCTCCTATACGCTCGGATATGCATCTCGGAGTTTCCCAACACCATAACACAACTCCATAGTTGAATTTTGTTTGTCGCTTGTCGGTAAAGTTTTCTTCAAGTTGAGCAGCCAAGATGAAGATACATGAGTGGGAGAGGAGGAGAAATTCCAAATTCATGTCAACTTTCTTTTCTGTTTCCTCCTCTTGGGGTTGAAGAATACTCAGAAGTAGAATCAAAGCCTAGGCACTTGAGAAATGCAAGTCTTGCCATCCTGAAATAGTAGCAAGGGTGGAAATATATGTGGGTTGCTGCTGCTGCTGCAGATGCCTCCATTTCTCTTATCTCCTCTCTTCTATTTATTCTACTTGTGCTTGTTACTATCTCCCCTTTTATACTTTCTCCTACCTGCCAAAACCTTACAAACTCAGTTTATTTGTACATATATTACCTAATTTCTAATCCCAGCAGAAGATAAATAAACATGCTTTACTATAACTAGTCAGCAAAAAGATTCATGAACAAAACATTGTGAAATGAAATCTTATTCTAGCCTCATTATTTAAAGCTTGTTTTATTAATCATTTTTTTTTGTTTTTTTGTTTTTAGGACACGTTTAATAACCATTTAGTTGTTAGATTTTAATTTTTTTGAAAATTGAAAATTGAAAACGACCAAATTTGAAAACTGAAAGCCAAATTTTGATAACTAAAAAAATTAGCTTTATGTTTTTGGTTTTTAGGTTTCTTTTCTTCTTCTTCTTTTTTTTTTTTTTTTTTTTTTTTGAAGTTGAAAACTAATAGTAACTACCACACATGTTTTTAGTGTTCATTATTTTTTAAAACTTGTCTAGTAAGTAGTTTAATTCTTCCAAACAAATGAAAACTGAAAACCAGAACCTAAAAATTCAAATTCAAATTTTGAAAACTCAAAAAAATAGCACTTGGTTGTTGCTTTGAAAGTTACCAAACAAATTTTTATTTTAAATAAAAAAAGTGAACAAAAACTGAAAATTAAAAACGAATTTGATTATCAAACAAATCTTAATTTTGTCAATTTTATTCACACTTGTATGTACAAACATAAACGACAAGAAATTTTCTAATAACATTTCAAACTAAAAAAAATACATAATGAAAAAGTTATCTGTGATCGAGGCAATGTAGGAGCAGGAACATGAGCAATGTATCATACCGTTTATTTTCTTTACTGATGTATGTCTAGTGAAATGGACATAGAAGATGAAATGTGAAGGAAAGCTCTATTTTTACTCTCTGCTTTTCCTCCTTTTATGTATACTGAACAATGATACAAATACACCTATGTTGTAAAAGTTGTGGGGTGAATGCCCACATACTTTTAGCAAAAGGTGAGAACACTTTAGAATAGTGATCATGTTGTTGTTGTATGAAGTTTGTCAAAGAACACTCATTTCACCTTTGTAAGTTTTCACGGGAATGGCTCTATTTAAAGAGCACTCCGTGTGTAATCACTACACACTAAAAAAGGAAAAGAACTGAAAGCAATAATATTAGTATCCCTCACTTTCTCTTTTTACCTGCAATCCTTTAGTGTTATAGCTACGAAACTAAATAGTGTGATATTTTGCTCCCGCTTTGCTCTTGTCCCTAGCAAAAGGTATCTATCTAACTTTTGCCTATTTAAAACACATTATCAACACGACTCTCTAACATTATCAACACGACTCTAGCACCATGCTTGCTTCTAGTTCTCAATATAACAATTACTTATATCTTTGATTTCTTGTTTGGTGTAGCTCCCGATTACTAACCCAGTGTTTATTTATGTTCATTTTACTGCAATTTTAGGTGGTGCGGTATAATCACCCACCATGCTCTGCATATTTAAATTTTTCTGCTGCATGAGTGGTACAGTATAATCGCTCATCCTATGCTATATTTTTTCAATGAGAGTGGTGCGATACAATCGCCCTCTTCATTAATCATGTAAATCTTAAGCTTGAAATTTCGAGTGCTTATCATTTTGGCCTGAAGATCAAAATGAAAAATTTGTAAGAACCAGAAGTTCTAACACTACATTCCTCCAGAATACATATTATTGCAAGTTCTTACACATCTCAATTTTCTTTCAGAAAAGAAAATGGTGAACTTGGCAAAGCCTAATTTTGTTGCCCTAGATATTACTAGGAATAACTATCTTACCTGGATAATGGATGCCAAGATCGATCTGGAGGCAGGGAATCTTAGAGAAACCATCAAGGAGGAAAACAGTGCATCCTCTCAAGATCGAGCGAATGCTATGATCTTTATCTGTCGCCACCTTGATGAAGGACTGAAGAGCGAGTACCTAACAGTTGAAGATCCATTAGCCATCTAGAAAGCATTGAGAAATAGATACAATCCACCAGAAAACAGGATTATTCCAAGGGCTCATTATGAGTGAACACACCTAAGGATCCAGGATTTCAAGTCAGTGGCTGAGTACAATTCTGCAATGTTCAGAATTAGCTCTCAAATGAAACTTTGTGGGGAGACCATCACTGAGGAAGATATGTTGGAAAAGACTTTCATCACCTTTCATGCTTCCAACGTGCTCATACAACTGCAATATAAAAAACAAGGCTTTACTGAGTACAACGAGTTGATATTAGTGCTCCTTGTGGCTAAACAAAACAATGAGCTTCTGATGAAAAATCATCAGTTTCGACTTACTGGAATGGCACCATTCCCAGAAGCGAATGTTGTTTCCCTCGAAGTGAATACCACATCCTCTCGTGGCAATAATTACAAACTAGGGCGTTGCCACAAGCGAGGCCGATGGAATAAAAAATGCAAGAATCATGGTGTCCAGTTTTATAACTAAGGTCCAAGGCATAATTCAGACCCGAGCTTCAAGAAAGTAAATCTCCATAAAGGTAAAGCTCATATGAATAACACTCTTAGAAATCCTGAAGGAGTTTTCCATAGGTGTGGTGGCAATGGACACTGGCCGCGTATTTGTCGTACCCTAAAACATCTGGTGGACCTGTATCAAGGCTCCCTCAAGGAGAAGGGTGTCGAAACCAATCTCCTCGACCAGGCTAAACTAATGAATACACATCATCCAGTGTTTAATTTATCAAGACAATTGAACACAACCCATCTAGATGTCTCAAGCTTCATTATCGAAAGAGAATGAAATGTATCGGTCCGATTGAATGATTTCTGTTTGATATGCTTTTATTATTTGAACTTCTAGTTTAAAGCTCGCATTTCAATTCAATAAAAGTGGCATTTCAATTTCCTTTTATTATAAATAAACCGTTTTTAACTGTGATTCCTTTACTTAGAGAGCATGGTTGAAAACTATGGTTATTCTCAAAACAAGAGCAATGGCGGAGATATTTATCTTGCAGACAGCGCAACCACACATACAATACTTCGAGATCGAAAATCTTTCTCAAGCTTAATGCATACAAAAGTAAAGGTAACAACAATATCAGGCCAATCAGATGTAATTGAAGGCTTAGGAAAAGCTCAGATCATGTTACCAAATGGAACAACATTGTCCATACAAAATGCGTTATACATTACTCGATCTACTTGAAATTTGTTGAGTTTTAAAGACATACATTTAAATGGATACCACATTGAAACCAAAAGTGCAAAAAATGTGAAATATTTATGCATTACCTCCAATGATACCATAAGCGTACACTGGAGAAGTTGTGTGGCTTATCGAGTGGATTGAATTATACATACATATCTAATGCATAGATATTCCACATTTTCTGCACTTTTCGTTTCAATGTGGTATCCATTTAAACGTATGTCTTTAAAACTCAACAAATTTTGATTAGATCGAGTTGCGTACAACGCATTTTGTATGGACAATATTGTTCCATTTGGTAACATGATCTGGACTTTTCCTCTCCTGTTTTGAGAATAACCATAGTTTTTACCCATGCTCTCTGAGTAAGGGAATCACAGTTAAAAATAGTTTATTCATTTAAACAGTTTCACCACCGAGGCATCTTAATAATAAAAGGAAATTGAAATGCCACTTTTATTGAATTGAAATGCGAGCTTTAAACTACAAGTTCAGAAATAAGAGTACATCAAATAGAAATAATTCAATCGGATCGATACATTTCATTCCATCTTTCCACAATGAAGTCTGAGACATCTAGGTGGGTTGTGTTCAATTGCCCTGATAAATCGAACACTGGATCAGGTATATCCATAGGTGTAGCCTTGTCGAGGAAATTGGTTTCGACACCCTTCTCCTTGAGGGAGGCTTGATACAGGTCCACCAGATGTTTTGGGGTACGACAGGTACGCGCCCAATGTCCATTGCCGGCATATCTATGGCAAACTCTTTCAAGATTTCTAAGAGTATTATTCATATGATATTTACCTTTGTGGCGATTTGCATTTTTGAAGCTCGGCCCTGAATTATGCCTTGGCACCTGGTTGTAAAAATGGACACTATGATTCTTGCCTTTCTCATTCCACCGGCCTCACTTGTGGCCACAGTCGTCATTTGTAATTATTGCCACGAGAGGATGTGCTGTTCACTTCGAGGGAAGCATCATTCACTTCTGGGAATAGTGTCGATCCAGTAGGTCGAGACTAATGATTTTTCATCAAAAGCTCATTGTTCAGCTACAAGGAGCACCGATATCAGCTGGTTGTACTCAGTAAAGCCATGCTCTCTATACTTCTGCTGCGTGAGCACGCATGAAAGGTGCTGAAAGTCTTTTACAGAATATCTTCCTCAGTGATGGTTGCCCCACAAAGCTTCATCTGGGAGCTAATTCTAAACATCGTAGAATTATACTCAACCACCGACTTGAAATCCTGGATCCTTAGGTGTGTCCACTCATAACGAGCCCTTGGAAGAATCACCATTTTCTGGTGATTGTATCTATTTCTCAATGCCTTCCAGAGGGCTAATAGATCTTCAACCATTAAGTACTCGCTCTTCAGTCCTTCATCAAAGTGGCGATGGATATAGATCATAGCCTTCACCTGATCTTGAGAGGATGCATTGTTTTCCTCCTTAATGGTTTCTCCAATATTCCCTGCCTCCAGATGGATCCTGACATCCACTACCCAGGTAAGGTGGTTATTCCCAGTAATATTCAAGGCAACAAAATCCAACTTTGCCAAGTTCACCATTTTCTTTCCTGAAAGAAAAATGAGATGTGTAACAACTTGCAATAATATGTCTTCTGGAGGAATGTAGTGTTCAAACTTCTGGTTCTTACAAATTTTTCATTTTGATATTCAGGCCAAAATGATAAACACTCGAAACTTCAAGCTCGAGATTTACATGATTAATGAGGAGGGCGATTGTACCGCACCACTCTCATTGAAACAATATAGCATAGGATGGGTGATTATATCGTACCCCTCAAGCAGTAGGATAATTTACATATGCAGAGC